CCGCAAATCCTGAGTAAGCACGTGGTTCTTAGACACACACATACACACACCTGTGCGCTCCTTTGGCTCTCCGAGGCGCAATTGTCGTCGCGCCGACCATCCCTACTAGTCAGTCCCACGGAGAGCTCGGCGGAGCCGGCCTCTCGAGGAGGCACGCAACGCAGGGACACATTCGGGACAGGCGGCGGGCTACAAGAGGCTGGCGTAGAAGGGAGCATTGAGGAGGCTGGAAGACGCGCTGCGCAACCATGTGAGACCACATAAGCGCTGAGTAAAACCTACTCATACCAGGATACCGTTGGTGGAGTAAACAAAACGCGTCTGTCACAAACGTCACGGACAGCACGTGCGAGTTTTGGAGCGTGATGAGCTTGCTCAAGTAATACAAAATGCTCATGTAGTAATGCCTCCAGTTCAAACCATTCTGTAGACATTGTTTCGTGTTCATGGATGAGCTCAGCCAATAATGTATTTAGAAAGCGACTCTGAGAGGGCGGATTTCAGCGTAGTCTCAGTTCACCCCATGCTCACATCCGGATGATCAGAAGAAAGCTCAATTACACCGTCCTCCTCCTCCTCCTCCTCTTCCTCCTCCGCCTCATCCTCGTCGACTTTCGCATCGATCTTCGCTTGGATGAGACCTCGGAGTTGGACGATCAACTGTTGGGCGCGGGCTTTGGCGCGAGAAAGCTCCGATCTGGCTTTCATGAGGAGCAATCCCTTGGATGCATCCTCGTGCTTGACACCACAAAGTAGACGAAGGACAAGGCCGTGTTGGCGAAGCGCTTCCTCGCGTTCGGCAGTAACGTCGGACAGCGACTTCTTCATCCGGGCAATACGCTCCTCCCTTTGCATGGCACGATCCTCTAGCTTGGCGACCTCAGTCTCGCGGCGACGGCAAATCGTCACAAGGTCGTCTCTTTCAGCAGTAATATCCTTGATATCCGCGGCAAGACGATGCTGGGCGTATCTGAGGTTGGTGATTTCACTTTGCAGCGCCACCTTCTCGGAGACCACGCGGTCGTGGCTATCCTTGAGTCGCTCATAAGCTCTGCCTGCCAATAGATGTATGTGCGGTTACAGCCTAGCGTTGGAAGACTAACCTTTCAGGACCAGAACTTCTTGGTCTGATTCAATTCGAGACATATTACGCTGAGAGCTGGGCATGTGTAAGTACAAGAATCATTTAGTCACCACGAAGAACAGACGGGGACGGCACCAGCGGAGAGCTGGAAGGCTGCCAAGTAAACCCAACGCCTGGCGACGCAGCACCGATTGTGGGGGTTGAATGAGAAGACATTGAAGCAAGGGTTGTTGAGATGCGATTAGTAGTCGGGGACAAAAGCAAGAGCCACTTGCTTGTTCCAAAAGCTTTTTAAGCACCGTCGCATTTCAAGTTGCTCATGATAGTCAAGACGAAGAATGATCAATAGCCTGAGACGTCAACCGATGTTCAAGTCCCACTTCTGAGGCGCAACTTCAGCAAATGCTGCAACCAGACATCGAAAGATGTCCTTCCCCTCAGACCCGATTGCAGTGGTCAAGAAGCACTGAGGTATGATCATGAAGCATGGTTACAGATGCATAACTGGGTGTGATTTTGGTAGCGTCAGTGTTAAGACATTGTGGGGAGAACGTGAAGAGGGGATGGTGTATAGACAACTGCGGCGCCCTCAAAACATAGCAAGGTACACACAGCAGGGACAGCGCAAGAAATAGATAGCAGAGTCAAAAAAGAGAAACGTAAAATCAGACCAGAGAGCAAAATATGTACCCAAAAGGTGTTTAACGGTGTTCGTGTTTTAAATAGTCATCAACGTGAATGTGAGGGGGCGTTAACGTGAACGTGAATAAAGCGTGAAGGATGAGTTTGAGGAACGTCAAGACGAATTGCGAGGGATTACGCCGCAGGGACGGCTTGCCTACGAGCTGGCGTCGGGCGTCCCCGAGGTCTTGGCCTGCTGATGCGCAGAGATTCGTTAGGTCTAGTGGGTTGATCAGTCAAACCCCACAGAGATAAAGAGTAGACACTCACGACATGATGAAGGATATGGCGGAATTGTTGGGCCATCAAGTCGTTGGGATCAAAATCGATTGATTGCAGAGCTGGGCTCATAAAAGCGCGATTGAGCCATCTGGAGATGGTTGAGGGAAGTTCGTGAGAGTTTTCAGCGACTGCTGTGAAAGCACTGGACGGGAAGGGTGCGGCGATGGCCTCGAAGATGTTCTTGAACGCACCCGAGGATGCCCAAGTTCATACGGAAGCGGACTGTAACTCTCCACAGAGTGTTGCAATAGAGCTTGCATCCCCTCGTGGTTCTTCGGCAGGTCAAATGCCAGAAGGCGTTGATGAAATGGTTCACGAAGATCAAGAAGAAGAGACGTACATTGGAGGGCAAACAGCGAGAAAGGCGTGTCCAGCCAAGTTCACTTGCTCATCCTCCGCTCGCTTCTGAGGGCATAATACTTGCGCGGCAATCATGCCGCGTTCGTCATCCCAGCCCATCGAGATACAGCTGGGCTGGCTGACTCTTCGTAGACTGATGCTCTTGATGCGCGACTCTGGGCAGCCGACATACGACGCCTATGGCCATTCCCGCGAGCACGTGCTCTTGATGAGTCGGATTTGGTACAGGATGTGTCATATTCACCAAGCAAGAATTGAGCTCCGAGATGTCGAGCCCTCGGACATGGACGAGTATTCTGCCAAGGACAATGGAGGTGTTTCGGCACCAGAACTTGAAGTTGTGATAGTTGATGAGCGAGGTCGAGAGTTCGGAGATGGTCTGGAGAATACTGGAGCTTGTCGGACTACAGAACCTTTCAGATTGTATCCAGATAAAAGTAGAGATGACTCACGAGCATAACCAATCTCCCGTCACCAAATTAACGCCGTCCTCCAAGCTGTGACGAACTAGGAGGCCTTGTTTCACTCTGATCATGCCCTCCACTCCAAACTTTGAAGAAGAAGTCAAAGCAATAGACGGTTGAGCCATACGTGCTTTGTGTGCAACCCTGTCTTCCTCCTGTAGAGTAGCATGTTTGCGTTTTCAACTCGGACGCAGGAAGGTTTTGAAAACTGAGCCAATAAAGCGGCGGCGAACATGTCCACCACCAAGCATCTGAATCCAAAGCATTATTATCTGAGCAAAAAAGAAGGAAAACGAACTTACCGTTATCATTGTATCGTTCTCCTTTATTGGTGTGCTGCTGCTCATGTTCATGCTCAACATCGACATTGGCGGGAACTGATTAGGCGGGAGTAGATGGCCATTAGGAGGATGAGATCATCTTATCCGAAGATCGAGTGGGATGACATCGACGAACGGTGGCCAGTCTTGTCAAACAATGAGTCCACCATTGATGACCCTACTCAACCATTAGATGGTCAAGATGGACCACTATGCTCCGGCGGAGATGCGGAGATCTAACTGAGAGCAGCTCCTTGGTCGTATGCAGATCTTGTCGCCAACCCCAGGTCTACCAAGACAAGGAACCGAGAAATCGCTGAGAATTGAGTCAGTCGAGGGTTCATGTTGATGTCTCGCCCAAGCGGCACGACCACCAGTAGCACCCTGCGAAGTATATTGATGAGCGAGCAAGCTGGTGCTGCTATCCGCTTTGCTCAAGCGATGACTTGCATAGCTCCGGTTGCAGTTATAGAAGGATGTAATGCTAGCGGTAGACTCGCGATAGCGATGACCACGAGAAGTTTGTGATTGTTGAGCTGGTGCTTTGAAGTAGAAACTAGATGCATCGCTGGCCGCACGTTTGCGACGAGGGTCCCCGCCAACAACGAGAAGGTGTCATCAACGTTCATAGAAAGCGAGATCGACAGATCTTCAGAGGATGGTTGTTCGCGGAGACTGAGCATAGGCAAGCCATACTCGAAAGGATCATTTACTCCAGGGTTGGTCACGTGTCCACAACAGACCCAATGCTGAAGACCGAATCATGATGTCCATGGTAAGCTCGAGTGTTGCGCGCAGCAGGAGGTGGTGGATAAAACGCCGGGCGATTAGCATGGAACTCGAAACCTCTGCGGACCTCATCAAACGAGTCGAATCCGGTAGAGCTGATGCCAGAGGCGGGTCTTGAACGAGTTCGAGCACGCATGCTGGTCATCGAAGCGCGTGAATTTCCGATGGCGGAGCGACGTAAACTGCAGTCTGAGTTGACCCGTGGGCGGGGTTGGGCAGCAATTTCTCCGGCATGGGCAAGAATGGACTTGAGTACGGATTCAGGGAATGAGCGCGACTGTGAGAGGGTGGTGGAAGAATGTTTGACAAGGTAAGCGGCTCTTTTTGCATCTTTGATGCTGTTCCTCTTCAGGGAACTGATACCCAAGCTTGAAACCAATGTTGAGTTCACCGGTCAATGGGCCATTTTGTGGCAAAAGGCCAATATCGCTTCCCAGGCTATCAGAGCCGCGCAAGAGTGTTGGTTCCTTGAGATCGATGATTGGGGAAGGATATTCTGGGTACTGACGCCTTCACTGGCTGTCATAGTCGGCGCCGTGATGTCCATCAAACGTGTAGCGGACCGAGGGGATCGCTGGTCTTCGGTTTTCTGAAGACGACGGTGCCGAGGAAGTCTGGTCGATGATGAACTGCATAGGGGGTTCCGGAGGCGCGTCAATTGCAAGTAGATTGTGCAGGTCGATATTGGCCGGCGTTTTGAACGCATTCTCTAGTTGTTCGACGGAACTGCGCCTATCTGATGCCCCAGGCTCATTCAGCTTCTGGAGCTCACCCGTGAAATCAAACGACTTTTTTCGCATCCTCCTCCGAGGCAGCGCCATCATCGATATCGGCATGATTACCATCGTCTTCAACCAGCTCAACATTGAACATGGGCAGCTGTAGTTGAGGGGGCGACGAGGAGATGCGAGGCGAGGGAGGCAGAGGCGGCAAGTCACCAGGCGGAAGCCCAGAACGAGAGCGTGTCGATTTAGCACGTGATGCCGATAAGATAACTTGCAACTCGTTTGGAAAATCCGGTCAGATGCATCCAGTTCCTGCTCTTGGTGATCAGAGGTATGCGATCCTCCCAAAGCGCCTGCAATACCGATCAACCGTGAAGGATGAGCAGGAGGAGCGTCAAGGAAGAGTGAAGGTTCTGCCACAGGGACAGCTTGCGGACGAGCTAGCTTGGGTGTCGCTGGGATCTTGGCCTGCTGATTCGCAGAGACTCTCTAGGTCCAGACCCTTGATCAGTCAAGCCCCACAGAAAAGAGAGTCTATGCTCACCACATGATGAAAGATATTGCGGGAATGTTGAGATCCTTCAAGTTCGTCGTGAGGTCGCTCGAGGTTTGGCGGAAGGGAACGCGGATTGGGTGGACCCCGGTTCTTCTCCTTGTCTTCGAGAGGCCACATCATCGACGTTGATGCAACCATCGACGTTGAAATCAAAATGCATTGAGTGCAGAGTTGGACCCATAACGTGTGATTAAGGTCATCTCGAGGTGAGTCGGTGACGGTGTCGTGCGACTGCTGGGATAGCGTTTGGCGGGCAGGGTATGGCGATGGTCTTGAAGAAGTTCTTGAACCCATGCGACAATGTTCGAGTTCAGATGGAAGTGGGCTATAACATAACTCTCATAGCTTGCTCTCGACGACAGTATCTTCGGCTTCGTTTCTTGAAGTTCGGACTACAATACAACCCGACCATGATCATATCCAAAAACTGGTGGCGATGACTTACGAGCAAAACTAACCTCCCCGCCAGCAATCAACGAACTTTTCTAAGCTGGGTGGCGAACGAGAAGGCCTTGTTTTGCGTTCGGACTTCGAAGCTGAAGCAGTAAACGGTTGGGCCACAATGCGTGCTTTGTGGGTAACCTTAGCGGGAGAGGCTTCGAAAACCGAGCCAAGAAAGCGTCAGCGAACATGGCCACCCTAAGTATCGATCCTCAAGTATTATTACCAGAGCAAATCGCAACAAAGAAGAACAACTTGCCGTGAGGTCGTATCGTCTTCTCTCATTGTGTACTGTGCACTGTTGCCAAACTGTTGCTTGTGTTCATGGTCAACGTCGACAGCGGTTTAGGCGAGAGCAGCACGAGGATGATGGCCAGCATATGATCCGAAGATCGAGTCGGACGAAGAACGGTGACCGAACCAGACTTGTACCCTCGTCCAGTCCGCTCAACGATAATCGACCCCAGTCATTGAAAAATGTCCTTATTGACTTCCATAGGTCCATCTTCAACCATAATACTGGCAGTCGTGGTGAAGGGGAAAAGGTGACGGCGTCGACAGCCCAGCGCAAAGTAAAAGAAGTCAAGCCAGTCAAGAATGTCTCTGATCTCAGCCGGACTCGGAGTTTGAAGAGTCGTCACGGAAAGCTGAAAGTGAAACTACTGGTTGTATTGATGAATTTAGCATAGCACGGTGTCAAGTCAAGAAACTCGGCTCGAAACTTGAAGCTTATCGGCCATCGTACGGTTGAGCATCTTCCGCAAAAAATTCCCCACAAGCGACAACTCCTCCTCTGCATGAAGCAATCTACCTTGCAACACAGCGACCTCGACTTTGAGGTTCACTGCCTCCTTTTGGGCCTCGTCTCGCGTTCGGGTCAAATGGTTGTTCCAGCCGCGAAGTTCCTGTAGAGCTTCATCATTGGACGACAAGGGCGGAGACTTCGCCTACGTTAACTTGCATGTCCTTCAGCTGGATGGAGAGCTGCGCCTTTTGAAGCTCAAATACAACGCGCGAAACCTCGGACTGGAGCTGAAATCGAGCCTGCGTAGCGAGTTGGAGGCGATTTTCGATCTGGTCCCTGTCCCGAGCCAACGTCGCATTGGCAACCACCAGCTGCTCCATCTGTATCTTTAACTCGACAAGCTCGGTGGTGCTTCCCTCACGTCCGCCTTGGTGGTCTGTGCTGTCGTGAAGCTCGTTGCATGCTACGAGGTTTGTGATGTCAACATTTAAACAGTATCAAGCTGAAGGCAAATGTACCAACCTTCCTCAGGCCTGGGCGTTTTCAATTTTGCTGCATCCATGACCGAAGTGGCGCTCGGGGGTAATGGTTAAGAGTTTGTGCTTACGTCTCTCTCTCTCTGTGTGTTTTGATAATCCAGAGCGCCAATCAATTACAAGACCTCATCAAGCAATTCGAACTTTGGGAACAGAGATCGTCCATAGGCTATTTAACGGGATACCCGGTTCGCCTCTCCATCAATGGCTCCTACCTCCTCTCCCGATAGTGTTGACTCCGCTGCCTTTCCTGGCTTCAAGAAACGCGCTCCGTCTATCCAAACACCCAGTCCAGGAACTCCCTCCGGTGCAGACCAGAGCTTGTTTACCTCCGCAACAGACGGGTCCCAGTCAAGCAACATCGCCTCCTCGCCATTGGGGCCTTTGCGCTTGTAAGTGTGCCGTCTAATTATTTGTGTCTTTCGCCGACATCCAATCCCAGGCAGGCTGTCGACAACAACCCTTTCATCAGGGCCAATAATAACGGTCGCACAGGTGCATACTTTCCCTTTGCTCTCTCTCTCTTCTGAACGGTTCTGAACACCATGAGCAGACCTCCAACAGCAGCAGGCCCTTCTCAACGGGTATCATGCATTGAAGATTGACCATGCTCGTCTTGAAACAGAAGTTGAGCGTCTTCTTATGACCAAGCACGTACTTCAAGAGAACGCCGTGGAAAGCCTCGCTGCGAATGTCAAGCTCAATGCCGAGATGACCGAGCTCAAGGAGCAGTTGGCCGAGGGAGAAGAACTTATGGACCAGCAGAAAGACAAAGAAGCTGGCCTTAGAGCGAAGATTTTCGAGGCTAGAAAAGGGCGAGAACACATGTTGGCTCAGCTCGTGGCGATTCGCAAAGAGTTGTCGTCCGAGAAGAGGGAACGACAGCGCCGAATGGAACAGAGCGAAAAGGGCGTTTCAAAAGCTAAATTGAAGATCGTCTCTCTTGTCAAGGACCTCCAGAACCTCATTGATGTCATCGACGAAGTTGAGGAGAAGTTGGATGACTCGGACCAGCGTGATATTTCTATGCGGTCTGGGTGGGTGGACACAAGCCTGTTGGACGCCGCTGATATGAGCTACTAATCATCGTCTGTTCGCTCCATGAAGTATTAGAAATTGTTTGGATCGTACTTGTTTCTACCTAATTCTCATCCAAGTTCAGTCTGCTCAGCGTTTGCATTCGCGTCTTTAAGTTCGATAAATTCGAATCCGATACTTAGTACATACACTGAGAGACCCATCGACTAATCAACTAGCAACGTCCCACCCCGGTCAGGCTATGAGGGCATCCTTGCCATTACGACACAAACTGCAACCATCATTGCCCAACGCAACGCCGTGCGCATGGAGGGCTAGATGTGCTTCACCGATGTCGTGTTCTGCATCCCGGATGCTTCGAGTCCGTTCGTCTATCAAGGACCGGAGAAAATTCATAGCGGAGACCATTTCGTGGAGACGGCGTTGAGCCATTGCGTGCTCTGCAATGCATGCTTCTCGGTGGGCCCGCAACGTGTGGATGAGCTGTTGCGCTGCTAGAGGGGAACTTGGAACGAGGAGAGTCCAGTTCTGATAGCGCAGCTTCTATTGCTATTCAGTGCGCTAGCCGACGTGGACACAGCAAGGCTTACAAGCTCGTTTGGAGGCAGAGGTGTTAACGCCTGATTCTCTGCGGAGTCCAAGTTGCGCGTGCCCGGGCCGTCATTCTGAAGATCGGTGCAAGGCTCTTTCATGAGCGAAGAGGGAGTAGGAGATGATCCAAGCTCAGTCATGGGTGATGTTACAAGTCAAAAGACGAAAGCTGTGACATTCGAGAGAGTCAGATCAAACGCGTTTGTCTTCCGCTTTGTCATCATCACTTTGCACCCTCATACTCGACAAGTCCAATCCGATGGCGAATCGCACCCTCCAGATCCATGGCGTGGTCTGAAAGGTGCTCTTACTAGAGCCAGTGCAATTCGAATCGCCAGCTCTATTGCGATATGGCAACGGAGCACTGAGCTGAGCCGACCCTGAACCTCAAGAACTCTACGCTCAAAATCCGATTGACGGCCAGCATGGGAGATCTCGGTAGGTGGCCGCCGTGATCAAAATTTGACAATTAAACATGAATTTTAAGTTCTCCAACTTCTTTCTACTTCTTCATTCAAGTTTTCGCTCAGCTCTCAACAGTACCATGACGAACTTGGATGAGCCCATGGATCCAAACGGCCCAAACGACGAGGCACGCTTGCTCACACATTATTTCAACCTATCGCCTCCCCCCCAGGCCACTGGCAGTCCTTCACAGACTGGCGCCAGCGCATTCGATGGCGACATGTCGGACTCCTTTGGCGGCGCCGAGAGTTACTACGATGGGAGCTCCAACAGCTACAGCTACAGCTACACCGACTTCAACGAAGCTTCTCAATCCCTGCCTCATGCAAGCGTTGTAGATCAATCTTTTGCCTCAGTGCCACTGGAGGCCCAGAAACGTATCGGTTCGTCCCATTTCTTTGTTGTGTAGTCTAGTACCTAGTAAATGCTAACATTTATTCAAGAAGTAGACACTGCTTTTGCAGACGGAATGTCCACTGGCTATCAACTCGGGCTTGACGAAGGCTATGAACGCGCGATGCGCCAGCTTGGCGTCAACCCGGACGCCACTCACCAATTCCCCACTCGTGTCGAGCAACCTGAAGCGCAACTGGAGGCTGTCACCGGCAACGCGAATGACGACCAGTCTATGCTCTCCGTAGGTGGTGACCAGTCCGTGCTCTCCATAGGTGGCGACACCACTTTCAAGACGACCAGTCAAGCACCTCAACTTCAAATTTCTGTTACGGAATTGCTGGACCAGGTCGCAGCACCGGTACCTATTCGCCGCTACTTTTCACGCTATATTTACCATCGAATGTAGCGGCAGGCTGGCGCTCAAGCAACCCAACTTGAAGATAACCCAGTCTTTTCCCAGTCTTCAGATACTCACTCTGCCAGCGGTGCGTTCTGCGTTCCTTGACGTATGCTTTGCTGAATTCAAGAATAGAGGGAGGAGTGCAGCGGCGCAAGCGCGGTCGTCCAGCGAACCACGCCACCATCATTGCCGCAGGCAAAGGCACGACTGGCAGTCCTTCCCTCGCTACCAGCTCAAAGTCCAAATCAACCCGGGTGGGGATTCCCGAATCGGCTGAGTTAAAAGTCAAACAGTTCGCCGACGAGTGTTTCGAAACTGCGATCCATCTTATAGCAGTGAAGGACTACTGGGGAACGACTGACTACAAGCGAATCCTTCAGGTCACCCGCGAATATTTGGCTAATCAAGGCATCATTCTCACGGACGACGGTTAAATTCTGCTTTTGTGTAGAGACACATATTGACTGACCTTGATAGATATAACACCCGCACTTGAGAGTAGCCTTTGCTCCGCGGTTGGTGGTGTAATCTTTCCGCTTCACTCACCTAGTTGACTGGTTGCTACTTAGCTCCACACTGGAAGACACAACTCACGCAACTCCGTGCGGAAAAAGGGCCTTGAACGAGTTTGGCCAATGAGCAAGGTACCCCACCCTCCAACTGGTCAACTCACGTACACCGACGAGGAGGTAAAGACGGCGGATTGGCTTATCGAGGACTTGCATTATGCCCACGATACGCCTCTGCCCGACTTCAGTATGATAATCGATGTTGCAAACAAATGCATGCTTACGAGGATCCAGGCCAACCACAACAAGTTGCAGACACAACTCAGACGGCGACTGACGTTCAAGTTGACAACGACACCGTCCATGGTACATTCCTAGATAGAGCTACCGCGAAACTTCCCGAAACGGGGCGGTTCACGAATCCCGTTGTTGGGAACATAATATGGGCGATGGCCAGTCATCAATCTGTCTATTATCGCAACATGGAGATCTTCAAGCGAGTTGAAACCTTTCCCCTCAACATCGTGATATTTGGTTTCCTAACCGTTTGTCTTGACTCATTTCACATTCTTTCCTAGTGCTTACCCGTCGTAGGCATACAACTTCTTGGAAGGTGTACAAAAAAGACTGGGATCGCTGTCCGCTTTCAACGGCATGGAATGTACGAACTCATTCACGAGTGGTTTGTGGCAGCAATCAATGCAATCATGAATGATGAAGTTCATGGTCCTCCGTTTAAAGCTTGGCTAAAGGCGATCATTGCCGCTCTCGGGCAAGTCTATTGTTTTCCAAACAGCTTGATGTACGCTCACGTTGATATCTTTAGCCAGGGGAAGCCTCCCTTCTCGCAGAGCTAAAGATAACTCCCAGCCAAAGCCGAAGCCAACAACAAGATAGACACAGTAGCGTACTTTTTTGGACAAAAAATGTAGTTGATGATTGATTGAATCCATGCACTTGTTCCTCACAGGTGTCAGTCACCGTGACATGCTTTGACTCAGCCACATCCAAGCCGACGCTTTCACGGTCTACTAGAGACTCTAGGTGTGTCCCAACGTTCAGGACAAAAAAGGACAAGAGGGACTCACGTTGGGGCAGCCAGCACTCACTCGAGGGACGGAAGCGCGCTCCATTGAGCGATGTTTCCCCAGTTTTTCATGTCGTTTGTCTGCGTTGGAAAGCATCAACAATCAACCGCCTATGCTTACCGTTGAGGAAGCCACTACCAATGGACATGGAGGCGAGGATTATGAGGATGTGGAGACGGAGGATTTCCTGGTTGTGTCTGCAACACCGTTTAAACGTCGAAGACCAAGGCCGCGTCCGGTTTGGGATGATATAATAGATGGGACATCCCGTCCTCGTCCCCCGTGGAGTTTTTTTTGAAAACAACCGCTCTTCCACGGGTGAAAATTTTACTTTATTTTCTTAATCATGACTAACTCGAAGTCAGGAGGTGTTTTGAACACGATCTTGCTCAATCGATTACATTCCTTGAGTTGGATGCTACTCCTTCGCCTGCTCGCAACGCTATTGTGCCGCCTGTTGAAGAGAGTCCCGTTGGCAAGAACGAATCCAAAGTCTTGCGACCCAGCGCGGGATCAGTCAGTTCCCTTCGACCATATGCTGAACGGGCTGCCCTCTCGCCCAAACGACAACTAGTGCCTAAAGCATCTCAACGACGACTGATCGGCCAACACATTGCTCCGTGGCCCACTGCTCTCAAGTCAACGCCACCTGCACCGATAGCTTCTGACGCCACGTTCAAGAGATCTCACCACAGAACAATGACGCCCTCGCCAGAGCCGGATCCAGCTCCTGTTTCCACTCTTTGCGTTTGCGGCGCTCATGAACCCAACCTGTTTCATCATCATCGCCCTCTCCGCCTCCATCTTCTGTGGACAGCAAGATGGACATGCGAGCACCGTCGTCGCTAACGTTTGGCTCCCGCTCGTCACCCGAGAGCCCAAAACCAGTCGCGTTTTGCCTCCCGTCTTTACCCGTCACACTCGCAATCCGCGGAGCAGCAAAGGCAACAACAATGGAATGCTCCTCGCACTTGGCGCAAAGCGAGTGCTCGGTATTGCAGGCGCTTTGGGAGGATCGCATACCTCTGATCACCAAGAGCAGGAACTGGATACATCTGACCGGATTTTCCAAACGAGTTGCAAGTTATCTTATCGGCATCACGTGCTAAATCGACACGCTCTCGTTCTGGGCTTCCGCCTGGTGACTTGCCGCCTCTGCCTCCCTCGCCTCGCATCTCCTCGTCGCCCCCTCAACTACAGCTGCCCATGTTCAATGTTGAGCTGGTTGAAGACGATGGTAATCATGCCGATATCGATGATGGCGCTGCCTCGGAGGAGGATGCGAAAAAAGTCGTTTGATTTCACGGGTGAGCTCCAGAAGCTGAATGAGCCTGGGGCATCAGATAGGCGCAGTTCCGTCGAACAACTAGAGAATGCGTTCAAAACGCCGGCCAATATCGACCTGCACAATCTACTTGCAATTGACGCGCCTCCGGAACCCCCTATGCAGTTCATCATCGACCAGACTTCCTCGGCACCGTCGTCTTCAGAAAACCGAAGACCAGCGATCCCCTCGGTCCGCTACACGTTTGATGGACATCACGGCGCCGACTATGACAGCCAGTGAAGGCGTCAGTACCCAGAATATCCTTCCCCAATCATCGATCTCAAGGAACCAACACTCTTGCGCGGCTCTGATAGCCTGGGAAGCGATATTGGCCTTTTGCCACAAAATGGCCCATTGACCGGTGAACTCAACATTGGTTTCAAGCTTGGGTATCAGTTCCCTGAAGAGGAACAGCATCAAAGATGCAAAAAGAGCCGCTTACCTTGTCAAACATTCTTCCACCACCCTCTCACAGTCGCGCTCATTCCCTGAATCCGTACTCAAGTCCATTCTTGCCCATGCCGGAGAAATTGCTGCCCAACCCCGCCCACGGGTCAACTCAGACTGCAGTTTACGTCGCTCCGCCATCGGAAATTCACGCGCTTCGATGACCAGCATGCGTGCTCGAACTCGTTCAAGACCCGCCTCTGGCATCAGCTCTACCGGATTCGACTCGTTTGATGAGGTCCGCAGAGGTTTCGAGTTCCATGCTAATCGCCCGACGTTTTATCCACCACCTCCTGCTGCGCGCAACACTCGAGCTTACCATGGACATCATGATTCGGTCTTCAGCATTGGGTCTGTTGTGGACACGTGACCAACCCTGGAGTAAATGATCCTTTCGAGTATGGCTTGCCTATGCTCAGTCTCCGCGAACAACCATCCTCTGAAGATCTGTCGATCTCGCTTTCTATGAACGTTGATGACACCTTCTCGTTGTTGGCGCGGGACCCTCGTCGCAAACGTGCGGCCAGCGATGCATCTAGTTTCTACTTCAAAGCACCAGCTCAACAATCACAAACTTCTCGTGGTCATCGCTATCGCGAGTCTACCGCTAGCATTACATCCTTCTATAACTGCAACCGGAGCTATGCAAGTCATCGCTTGAGCAAAGCGGATAGCAGCACCAGCTTGCTCGCTCATCAATATACTTCGCAGGGTGCTACTGGTGGTCGTGCCGCTTGGGCGAGACATCAACATGAACCCTCGACTGACTCAATTCTCAGCGATTTCTCGGTTCCTTGTCTTGGTAGACCTGGGGTTGGCGACAAGATCTGCATACGACCAAGGAGCTGCTCTCAGTTAGATCTCCGCATCTCCGCCGGAGCATAGTGGTCCATCTTGACCATCTCATGACCTATATATCCGCATCAGAACATCGAAGATGTGGTTGTGTGTTTTAGTGGGCCAGAGGTATCGAGGTTGGAATGAGTTGCGTTGACGCAGTCATTCTGTCTGCATTCTGCCTTGTTCGCATAGCTGAAATTATTGTGATACAATGATGTTTGATATTCGCACACTCTCAGATACTTGGCTGTCTGTAGCAATCTTCGTTTGACTAGAATCTTTTTTCGGACGTGGTCACACTGTGACACCACTGCGTATTGCCATCATCCCAGTCAACTTCTCCTGGTCGTTGCTTGCGCCTGTTGACCGCTACATCAGGTGGCCACTGGTCTGGAACCACAACTCTCACAACCAGTGGCCACAGGGTGAACTTGGCTCATTATTCCGCAACCAATAGTCAATTCTACTTGAAATTGACATTCTAAGTTCAAGTTCTCCGGTATGCAGTCTCTACAAGAGTGAAGAAGTAACATCTAACTTGCGAGAAAGAAGTTCATTTTGGATTACTACTGTCTTTGCGGGCAAAGAGCTATGCCCAAATCGAAATTTGCATGCGAACTTTGCCACAAACCGCTTCGCAATCTGGGCGAGGCAAAAGCTGTTCATGACCGAACCTGTCCAGGCTTCAAAGCCTTGCACATTCAATCTGTGGCGCATATCCATCAACATCTTCGAAACGCAGCACAAGCCCCTCCGTTACATGCAGACCCAGTCGGGGCTGTCGAAGTCCCAGTATGTGGAGACAGTTTGAGTATGACTACCTTGACTGACAATTGGACAGCAGATGGTAGTGCAGGAGAGCGAGGCTCCTGTCCTTCGCCCAAGTGGTCTTCCAAATCGTCGTCGTCGTGCTCCAGCCAAGTTGAAGGATGCTGCTCCCCCCCCACCACCAAGAATTCGCGGGGTCATTCGACCCCTACCCATGGAGACCACGATGGAGATTGATTCCCAACTCTCGTCAATCCCTGATCCAGAGCCCCAGCCGCAGAAGTGGATTCGCACTGAAATCGATGCTTTTGGACTTTATAAGGTTTATCCCCAACGTCCAACCCATGACCCTGACTCGCACATCACATCCCAAGAACTTTACAAAGTCGAAAACCCAGCTGTAGTGGGACTAGACAACTTCCCGTTGCCGAAAGAGCCGTGGTTCTACCCTTTCCCCAACGCGTCAGTTGCACACATGATCAAGTACCATATCGAGGAAGATCACGCGGGATCCATCGGCGCCTTTGACCGACTTGTGCAAAATGTTTTACAGCCTAACGAGGAGGCTCAATCGGACGGGGTCGATCTGCGTGAACTTCCCATGCCGTTTTCAACAAAAAAGTTCCTTGACGATCTCGATAAGAAAGGGATCGAGCCTTTGGGTATAACTGAGAAATGGAAACAGGGTAGTGTTGCTCTGAAGCTGCCTTGTGTGGGTCGAGAGCAGAAAGAATCGGCAGCCCCGGAATTCATGATCACAGATATTCATTACCGTCCACTTCTCGATCCTATCAAGGAAGTTCTTCAAGGTCCTCTCTTCCAGAAATTTCATACGACCCCATTCTCTTTGCGATTCATCCCCACAACAGATGATATCCCGCTCCCTCATGCTGACGCTGAACTCGATTCCAATATTTGGGGACTGCCAAATCTTCCTGCTGGTCATGAAGAGGTATTTGGAGAGGTCTATTCATCAGCGGCGATGCTGGAAGCATACGACGCGATCCCGCAACCTCCACCCCCTCAATCACCAGATGATCCTGTGGAGAGTATTGTCGTTGCTCTCATGGAATGGTCTGACGCCACCCATCTCGCTCAATTTGGCACGGCTTCGCTCTGGCCCGGTTATACATTCTTCGGCAATCATCCCAAAGATTTCAGAGGTAAACCGTCTTCGAACGCAGGTTTCCATCAAGTGTATTTCCCGAGTGTGCGTTAAAATCTTGTCCTCCAGTTGTTTACTCATGGTTGCACAGCTTCCCGACGCGATACATGATGCATACCGCCAACATTACAGCTGTGATATGCCCGACGAGGTCTTCACTCACCTTAAGCGTGACCTAATGCATCGCATCTGGGACCTTTTGCTCGATGACGACTTCATGGACGCGTACAAGAACGGTATCAAAATCAAATGTTGGGACGGCATTGTCCGTCTGGTCTTCCCTCGCTTTTTCATCTATGGCGCGGATTATCCTGAAAAGTCGGTGCCTTACCACAACACCCTTATGATCCTAAATAATATTTGGCAGAGTTCTACTTGCTACTATCCGAAGCATGGGTGGCTGTCCATGCCCTCGTTGCTTCATTCAGAAACACCAAATCGCCGAGACTGGCACAGTCAATGATATGAAGCGACGAGAAGTCATTCGTGTTGATGACCACCCTCGGAGATCAACCATCGAGGATGCGCGCAGAGCTATCTTTGAGAATGGTTCTGCTGTTGCGGGCTCTTCCATCAACAGGATGCTCCAAGCCAAGTCTTGGGTTCCGGTTCGGGTATGTATCTTTATTCTGTTCTTGAGTTACCATTCACCTGGTGATAGAATGCGTTCTCCAAACTCAACACTGAGACAACAACCTTCAACTTTTATACAATGTTCGTCCCAGACCTCCTGCATGAAGTCGAATTGGGAGTGGTCAAGGCAATCCTCACTCATCTGATTTGCATGCTGCAAACCTTCAAGAACGTCGGAGAATTTGATTCACGGTAAGCGCCATCTCCTTATTGCAGGGCTGTTCTCTAAGTCTTGTTAGATTCCGCCAAGTAGGAACATTTGGGCGGTCGGTGATACGTTCCTTCGGCAGCAATGTTTCTGCAATGAAATATGCAGCTGCGAGAAACTTCGAGGATGTTTTACAGGTGCTTTCGACTTTTCCCCGGGTGCCAACGACCAATGACATCTCGATAGTGTATACTCCCCGTCATCGAGGGATTATTTCCTGATCACCAACGTCTTATCGATCAACTGTGCTTCGAGCTAGCAGTGTGGCATGGATATGCCAAACTACGCATGCATACGACCTCCACTGTCGAAATCTTCCGAACTGCTACTAAGGATTTGCTTACCTCCATTCGACGCTTCGCCCGTGAAACTGCAAGTGTAAAAACATACGAGCTGCCTCGAGAGGAGCGGCAACGAACAAAGAAAGCAGCCAAGAAAGCGGCAACACTTGACCAGCAGGCTCCTGTGCCGGAATCCCAGCCCACCGCTTCAGTCAACGACGCCCAGTCCAAACCCAAACCCAAACCCAAACCCAAACCCAAACCCAAACCCAAATCCAAAACTACATCCAAATTCACAACCAAATCCGCACCCGTACCCCCGCCTGTATCCCTGCCTGTACCCCCGCCTGCCCCCCCCGCCTGCGCCTGTACCCCCGCCTGCACCCGCACCCTCCACTACACCAGACGTGTCAGCTACTACGGCATCAACATCCCTTGAAGATCCCAGTCCCGTACTCGTTACCACATCTACGCGACCTCGAGAAAAAATAGAAAAACCATTCAACATGATCACTTACAAATTGCACTCATTGCCCGACTACCCGGATTCCATTCTGCGATTCGGAACCACAGACTCCACCTCAACCCAAAATGTATGTATGATACATTTCCCGAGCACTGTTGACTTACTCTCATTTCTAGGGAGAGTTAGCTCATCGGCTCGTGAAACTGCTCTACCGAAGGACAAATAAACGTGATCATGTCCGGCAAATCGCGAAACATGAGCATCGTCGACGTTTGATCCGTGCGATGTGGGAACGGCGCAAGTGGTACAAGGATCGAGAGAAGACCACGACAACTAGCGCAACGGAAGGAACAGTCCACACCAACCAAGGCACTTCCAACACCAATCAACAAGCTGGTCGCCGGCGGAAACTACAGTCCAGCTTGCGCCCGAAACCCCATTCTTCCTATGGCGCCTACGTGCCACCAGAACAACACCATTATATATCGGATTCTCGAAGATCCTTCTGGCGTCTTTCCGATCTCGAGTTCGATACAGACTCTGATTCTGGTGGTGACGGGCCTGCTTTTGGCTCGCATGGTTCGTCTGCATAACCCAGGTTATTCCTATCTAATGAGTTCTGGCTAGGAGATTGATAAGCAAGATGACCCCGCCTTGAAAGTAGGGTTTCTTGAAAATTTTGGGATCAACGCTAATATCCAGTAGAATTTTGTTCTTAATTTGAAGGCTCATTTGCGCTGTCGCCTACTCGACTTGGAAGAGAGCGATGACATGCCGTTTAGCCAAGACGATCTAATCAAGGTTGTCATCGAGAAGGAATTACTCTACACTCACGCGACAATGCGGGTGAATTATACGACATACGATGTTCGAAGGGATCAAGACATGTTGAACCCACGTACACGAAAGTTCTTCATGGTTCACGCGCAGGATTCCGTAGACCCCCACCGCTTTTGATATGGGGAAATCCTGGGTATATTTCATGCATATGCGTCTCTTCTGGACCAGCCGGGCAAACCAAAGCGCCTTGAATTCCTTTGGGTGCGATGGTTCCAACGAGATATGACATATTTGTGTGGTTTCAAGGCGAAACGGCTACCTCGATTGTGTTACATGCCCCACCAAAGCGAAATTGCCTTTGGCTTCCTGGACCCGCAAGTTGTTGTTCGTGGGTGCCATTTGATTCCTGCCTTCAGCCATGGACGCACAACCGAATATCTACCGAAATCAATCGCTCGCCCTGAAGCAGCATCGGATCAAGACTGGCGGTTTTATTATGTGAACATGTGAGTTCAAGTATTCGCGTTCAGCATATGCTTACTAAAACAAGGTTGTCGATCGAGACATGCTTATGCGATACCACAGTAATGTGGTTGGCCATCGCAGTGCTGCACCGAATGTGGATCAAGATGTCCCCATGCTTGATGTACCCAACGAAGCTACTGCTGATCAGCAAGATGTCCTGCTCGGGGATCAACTGGTGAATGAGGAGGAAGAGGAAGACCCAGACTGGTGTGGCAATACGCGGTGGGAACCGCATAGTGATGGTGAAGAAGATGGAGAAGAAGATCAGGATCAGGATGAGATGCTGGTTGGAGACGAGGCAGTCCGAAATCGTCTGCATCTCGCAGACTGATTCTCTGCGGACAATGGAAGGGCAGAGTATTGCAAACACCATCTTAATGATCCAAGCAGACTTGTAATTTGAGTCGGCTCCTTCTTAGAAACGGCAACGGCAACGGCAACTTGCCGACCTTCGACACAATCTCTTTGGCCGGCATCCTGGCCGTCTTTTGTACTCTCGCTACCGCCCCGACCCAGCTCCGATTTGCAAACCGAACCGCCTCCCGCTCTTCCGCCCGTTAAACCGTGACATAAAGTCAGGTCGGCGCTCTATCCTTCGAGGCAAGTCTGACAATGTCAAGAACGGGTCCGCAAACGCTCAAGAACGCATCTCGGTCGCCTTCAACGACTGCTTCAGAACTCGCCGCCACTTTCTCAGCACTCGGGTTGACGATGGCCGTTGTCACCGTCACCGTCACCCATCACCCACATTCACCAGCGGCGAGCGATGAGGTCTCTTCGATGCCTTCGTCCTGTACACGCCCAAGAAGGCTTCGGGACGGTGTACGTCGTAGCATTGCCGCATCCGGCCACGGGCCGGCCCGTTCTCAAGATTGGACACTCCATTGACTGTTGGCGTCGTCTGCGCCAGCACCGATCGCATTGCAACGGCCAAACCTTCACTCTGCTACTGGCTTTTGCCGTCCCCAGTCGTATTCTGCTTGGTAAGCAACTTTTCCTCTCGTTCCTTTTCACTGACTCTTCTTAGAACGAATCATCCACGACTACTTCGATTTCATCTGCCACAGCTGGCTGGGCGCAGTCTACTGCCAATTTTGCGACCAACGACATTTTGAATACTTCGACGCTGAAAGCTGCGGGCCCTTAGAGCATGTAATTGCGACTTTTCATACTATCATTGTGTATCAGGGGTGGGCATTACACCGAATTGTCTAGCCTGTTGTTGATTACAATAAACATTTCTTCTAAACTACAATGTACTTGTGAGGTATGAAAATTTTTTTACCAGATTTACAACCTACTTGCACTGGATGAAAAGGATTTTGGACCCCTTGTAAGCATGTCACAAGGTATTGTGTGGATCAAAAGGAGTCACAACAAATGGTCGAATTTGGTGATGACTCTTAGTGTGGCGAACGTAATCAGCTTCTTGGGACTTCAAGTTCAGAAAAGTCTCGTCATCCTTCTCCATCATTAAGTTTCTCCTGCGTAAGGCTATTTTCCCATCGAGTCTAACAAATGTACTTCTACTTCTAGGTTTGACAATTTGTCGCATTGCGTTTGGCCACTATCCAACGACTGTCTTCAACTGATTGAGTGCGGCTTTGGTCGCTCCGTCTTTGCGGCGCGCCGTTGTGTTATGATACTTCTGTTGTAGCAATGTTTTCGCCGGCCAGCGCTCAGGCGTACGAACCAGCCACGGATACTCTTTCTCAAGTTGACCCCAGAGTTTGTCGAGCGAATCGGTAGTCTGATGGCTGAGGGCTTTCGCGGGGTCCAAGTATTGTAGCGATGTGGTCAGTACACAATTCTCAATCCAAGTCAGTGACTTAAACCTAACAGTGATGGGAGCACACCTTAAACTCCTGAAGCTTCGTCTTTCGTTCTTCTTCAGGGATGTTACGATGCATCTTGGCCCAAAATGTATCGACTCCAAGGATGCTAAGTGCTCCCGGGGGCTTTTGATACATCTCTTTGTTATAGGAATCATTGGGCCGAGATGGCGGATCAGGAAGGGGAGTTGACTCGGTGCGGGCTGGTTGAGGAGGCGGCGAACGCTCCCGCGGCGCCGGCCCGTTCGAGCGGCGAGTGGGCGAACGAGAGCGAGAAGATTGGCGGGACATACGGTAGCCCGTCTCGATGAATGAAGCTCGAGTAGACTCCAGAGGAATGTTGGTCAGTACTCTGGGTAAGAGCACAGGGGATGGCGCGCGTCGCGGTCGGCGGAGGACCTTATTGGGCTGCATGGAAAGTTGCAGGCTGAAAGAGACACGACGTACATTATATATACTAGTATACGCTAAGTACAATGGGATCAAGTCGCCGTTCTTTGAGTCATCGTCCAAAGGGAACCATCGATCGCGTCCGGCGTCACCACCACGTGTTCAAGAGGCTCGTAAAGCGCTCGAAAGCCAAGTGGGCGATAGAGAAACTACAAACGGCGGAGACGGCAGATATCTGGGGCTTCCGCAACTGGTCGAAAGGGACACGCAACTACCCGACACCTGCAATAACGCGCCGTGGACAGGATCCAGCGGTGACCCATACGGAAAAATGCAACGCAATTAGAGATGAGTTGTTCCAGCCTCCACCGGTATTAGAACAAGAACCTGATGTCAACCTGAGTGATAGACTCGAGGACGACTTAGAATACCAGGAAGTTACCACAGAAGAGGTCCGCGAGGCAATTTTCGACTCCAGCACGTCATCTGCCCCTGGGGAAAGCCAGGTCTCCTACAAGATCCTCCGGTGGGCTTGGGGCGCAGACCCAGAGACGCAGGAAGAGATCACCACACTTATGCGGAAATGCCTCAAGAACGGCTACCACCCGCGACATTGGCGGAAGTCAATAGCAGTGGCGCTACGAAAGCCAAACAAGCCAGACTACTCAAACCCACGCGCGTATAGGCTAATTCAACTCCTAGAATGCCTAGGCAAGGTCCTCGAGAAAATTGTTGCAAGACGACTGGCTTACCTTGCTGGTCGTCATGACCTGGTCCCGGGCACGCAATTTGGAGGTGTATCTAACACATCAACCACAGATGCCTTGCTCACATTCACAAACGATGTGCAGGCGGCGTGGAACAACGGTAAAGTTACGTCTGCCCTAACATTTGACATCAAAGGGTACTTTGACTGCGTCAACCACAGGAGACTACTTAGCGAACTACGACGAAAAGGAATCCCGCTTGAATACGTCAAGTGGACAGCCGCGTTCCTGGAAGACCGCCAAGCCGCAGTATGCCTTGACGGGGTACGAGGGGAGATGAAGCCAGTCGAGAATGGAATCCCACAAGGCTCACCGGTCTCGCCAATCCTAGCGGCATTCTACAGCAGCGGGCTCCTTGAAGCATTTGAACCCAACAACTCAATCGTGGGACACATACCCCTCCCGGACGACCCATCGAACGTGTCTCTGATTATGTATGTAGACGATGGCAAACTGTACGTCTCATCATTTTCGCTCGATACTAACGTTAGGATGCTACGACTTGCCTACATTCGAGTACAAGACTGGCTACACGCAGCGGGACTAGACATCGATATTACCAAGCGGGAACTGATGCACTACACACGGCGGCGGAAGGACAAGTCCCCCTCAATCAAACTACCAGGCGCCGACGGCACCGACACTACAGTCCTGGTCTCAACCTCACTGAGGTGGCTCGGCGTGTTCCTTGACCGCAAACTCCTCTTCAACCACCATGTGAAGACACTCGCGGCCCGGGCAGCAAACACGGTCAACGGGATCACAATGCTCGCTAATACAGTCAAAGGGCTATCCCAAGGCCACCTACGACAACTATACCAGGCATGTGTCATTCCAGTTATGTGTTATGCAAGCTGTGTTTGGTGGACAGGCAAGAAGAGCCATGCCAAGGAGCTCGAGAAAGTCCAACGGAGAGCCCTAAGGTTGATATGCGCAGCATTTCGCACCACTCCTGTGCGCGCACTAGAAATCGAAGCATCAATACCCCCGATACACCTAGCGCTTGATCAGGCAAATCGGCGAGCAGGAATACGGTTCAACAAGCTGAGTACCCGAAACCCGGTCATCCAACGTCTACCTGATGTTTGGCGTAGCGGAAACCCTCCATTGGCTCCCCCACCAATGCCCATGAAACCCCAGAACAAGAACAAAGCCGACCAGCGGAAGACGACTCAGCTAGAAAGGCTTGCGCGGCACACGAGCCCACAGGACGAGAGAATTTCACCCTTCCTTACACCACCATGGCGTCGCACAGAGTCGGCCTTCGGGGGTAGGATGAAGGTGTCGACAACACAAGGAATGAACAAGGCAGAGGCAGCCAAAGCCCACGTTGAGCGAGTGGCGGACCTGGCACTACGCCCATCACACCTTCTTATCTATTCGGACGGCTCACTTAGGGAGATACACCGCATGAGAAGGGTTGGCGCGGGAGTGGTAATATACCGAGAGAACGAGGAAATGTTTGCGAACTCGCAAGGACTAGGTGGACACGCGGAAGTATATGACGGGGAGATGGCGGCTCTACTCCTTGGAGCCGCGAAGGCAACGGCAATGGCCAAAGCAGATGCTTCTATCAAGCACCTGCACTTTTTCGCGGACAACACATCAGCCATCAAAACCATCTTTAATCCCAAACCACGACCCGGACAGTTGGTCGCCCACCGTTTCCACACAATGGTTGCGGCTTTCCTCGACGACGACATGGACCGAACGGCAGAGATCGCGTGGGCCCCCGGACATGAAGACATACGGGGCAACGAGAGGGCAGACGAACTTGCGAAAGAAGGCACAGAGCGCGGCACGGAATTGCGAGGCACCAGAGCCAACGCCATCCGACGGTCGAAGGCCAAGCTGCAAAGGGACTGGCGCGGTGAGTGGAAACAGAACAGGAAAGCAGAGGGCGGGTTCGCGCTAGCTGACAAGATCAGGCCACCGCTGAAGCCTACGAAACACTTCAAGGCACTCGCCAGAAAACGGGAGGTCTTTGGTCGTTTAATCCAATGCCGCACAGGTCATGGATATACAGGCGAGTACTACAGTCGATTTGTCCCGGACGAGAGCGTTCACTGCCCCTGCGGGGCAGAGTTGCAGACACGTACACATATCTTGCGCGAATGCACGCGCTACAGCCAACATCGATACCATCTAAAGAAGGCATCAAGAGATATAGCAATGACGGAAATCCTCGGCACACCGTCGGGGATAGCAGCGCTGTCCAAATTCCTCGAGGAATCCGGGGCATTCACGAAGACCGGAAGACCACGCGAAGAAACGACCCTTCCCACGCTGGAAGACGAGCCGGAGGCGGAATTATCTGACGATGAAGACGATGCGGGCGGCATCGAGGACCATGGTTAGATGGATGGAAGGACGACCTGAAGATGTTCAAGAGCGGCGGGATAGCCCTCTTACACACGAACCTCACTGCCAACCCGCCCAATTATGGCCCCCCCTATGACCTTCATGCTCTACGCTCGCCAAATAACTCACGGGACGTCAGCGAATCAGACGCTGCTCAAATTCGTACACGGAAACCAATATATCAACCCCCGCAGGGCAACAAATGACACTCAACCCAACCCGGCCCTTGCTCTCCGAGCACCGCGCCTTAGTAGCACACGCATACTTGTACGCGGTATATAAATGTGATTCAAAAAAAAAAAAAAAAAAAGTCACCACCACGTGCTCACACCACGTGCTCACACCACGTGCTCACACGTGGTGGTGACACCGGACGACGTTTCTTTCAAGTTGCCTTTCAGCACAAGAAAAGGTAGGAGGCATCCTTGCGCTGGTGCACTCGTGAAGCATCGTCCCTAGATCCTCATGTTTCCGCCTTTCCTCGCCCGCACGCCTTACACCAAACACGGCAGTATCAAACATAGCGGAGGGATTCTAGGCCTCGAGACGGCAAATACTTAGCAACTGCAGGTGCCGATAGCAGCGCTCCTTTCGAACGGTAAATTGACGTGCCTTAGGGTGGGAAGGAACTCGTGTGTGGGATACTTCCTCCAGGACCGAATATTCTCGGCCTGCGCCGCCTGGAGAACGTGGTATTACGTCCTCTCTTCTATGGGTTCGTCAAAAAGACCAAGTTGAGGAAATTCTGTGGTTTGGGACCCAGAAAGGTTTTGTTTGTGCTTGGCGTTGCTACCAAGGGGTGCGTTCGCGGTGATTCCATTAACTTGACCGACTCAAGAGTCCTTGACAGAAATTTGAAGAAGTATTCACAATGGCACTGGAGCTATCCGCCGAAATCACCTGCCTCGCTTACGATTCCGTCAACAATCGTTTAGCCTTGGGAACTCGACGCAACCGCGTTCAATCTTGGTCTATCAGCGCGCCGAAAGAGCAAGTGCGCTGGACAGCCGAGTTGATTTTCGACATCGAACTTGAGAGCCCGGGGGCTATCGATTTCCACAGGAACATGCAAGAGCCGGACCGGCTCATATACGTCTATATCTCTGAAAGCCCTGGCCGCGTGTACGCCAATTTCAGAAGATGGTCTACAACTGACTTTCTGAATAGTTGGACGTTGAACGGGGAAGATGGTACCGTTCGAAGCAGTTGGGATGCGGGGGCCGGAATGTAAGTTGTTACTTGCTAATTGATCAGAACTGGAGCGCCGCGTTTAGTGGATTCCTTGCTCCAAACGTGGACCAGGGCGTGTTTGGGCTTGGAGACATGCAATCCGGACCAGCCATCTACCGATATCGTGATAACGTTCGCACTCAAACCCTTGATGTTCCTCACCGACGCGAGTGGCTGCGACCCTTGCAGTTCCGTTGGGCCGATCGTGGCACCACGATCGTATCTGGAAGCGACCACGGTGATATATATATATTTGACTATCAAACAGGTGAAAGGCAGCAGAAGGTTCAAGTCAGCACAGATGGCGAATGGGTCCAGGCCGTTGCAGTGAGTAGTTATCTCAATGAACTCCCACAATTGTCTGACGTCCTCCCCAAGGTTGCCGAGATTGAAGAGATTTCCACCATTTTTGCTGCCCAAAGTCGTATGACAGAAGGCAAAGAAGACATTATCGTCTACAAACGGTTACGGGCAGTAGGGTGGAATCTGTTCATGGAACGGATATTTTGGCCTCTGATGGTGTTGGGATTCATGATATTCTTTATGCAGAACTTCATCATGCCTTTGATGCCAGCCGGAGGCCAGGCGACAGCACACCGCGGACAATACAAGGAAACTCAGGCCAAGGAGACGGCGGCCGAACAAACGGTGTGGGGAAGGGCGCACGCCACACACCACCGACAATACAGGAAGGAAAGCCAACCTAAGCAGACAGCAGCTAAGGAGCCGGTGCGGGGAAAGTCGTACGCGACCGTTATCCGCATGTAGGGCTATCAGCGAGCCTCGATGTATTCAACTAGATCAGATTTGAAGTGTTCATCCATTTTACGCTGGGCAGCCTCGGCGAGACTAAGTTCTAATGGTAGATTATCACTTATTCGTCAGTCATTGAGCTCGATGGTAGAACTGGGAATGGTCCGGGGCCGAGAACAGGAGACCAACTTAGATTCCAGTTAAGAGTTGCCTTGCAGTTCGTAGTAAAAAAGCTCCTCCAGCCTGCATTTTGAGTGCGGCATTGATGAGAGGATTGCTGCCTTCGCCAGCGGTTTGTGGACGCAGAGCGCGGTCGACAGTTACGGGAGGCAATACCAACCGTTCGCATCCCCTCCAAATGAGTTGCAACGAAGCGCAAAGCGCGCTCCCGTTTGTGGTGAAGATATACTCTGATCCGCGGTCACGAGGTCAGCTACGTCGCACTTTTCTTCCCAAGACCACCGTCGGACCACCACCACTGTTGGGCGCGCTCTGCGTCAACAAACTACGCGACATAGGGAAGATATGATAGGCAGAGGGTTTTGGTGAGTGGTCGTCTTTCGCCCAAGTTGTAACAGGAGCTCACGCAAAGCTATTGATCAGCGAAACGTTCTACACGCTTTACAAGAGCTAAGGCTAAGGATAAGGAGCTCGACGAAAGTCATGAGAATGGGCTTGGGAAATGCCCATGTCAATGCTCTCGTGAACTTGTCCCATTGCAGCCTGAGACTTTTCCAGGTTCTGAAAATCGACGAGACTTTCATCTACCTATGCCACGACACTGTACATGTCCGCCGATAATTCTATGCGCTTTCTCTTACGTACCTCCTTTTTGCGACCGCCGTTTGCATTTGCGGCGATCTCATAACTCCTCGCCGAAGAATATCGTCCTTTGGAACGCAATCCTCCTCTCCCCTTCACCCGCAGTGCTTTGCTCCGATTTCCAGCTACCGTCATTTCTTGCACCGGGCCTCCGCGGCACCTTCAGTTGTGACAAGCGACTGCCGGCTTTCCGCAAATGCGGTATTGCGTTTGCCTTGGGGACATGCCTCTATTGGGGGATGAAAACACGATCTGCGGGCTCTCGTATCTTGCCCAATGCCATCCTCGACTCGGAGCATTATTCCAGGGTCTTCCGAAGATTTGGCGTTGGCCACCACCTTTCATTCGCGACAAATCATTCTGTAACTTGACCGTTTTTCTCTTGCCAGCAAGCTACCTCGACAATCCAGCACATTTGTATTTGTTGTTTGTAATGTTCGTGAACAGAGAAGAAAAGTATCGGTTGATAATGCGAATGAGTGCAGGGGAGTCAAAGTCATAAGCCAAAGGCGACAGTGAAGAGGAACAGATTGCGAACACAACAAGGAGGAGGAGTCTAATTTTTGCCCAGTTGGCTCCTCGTTGTCAGCAAATGATAGCATCCTTCACCGAGCTCAGAGGCGGCATAGTTAGAGGATAGAGCGTTTGATCGGCGCTGAAGAAGGTTGGTTGGACTTATACTTGGTATAATACGAGTTACTAGTATTTGCATATTACATACACAGGCAAACAATTGAGCTACAAAATCTCATCTGGGCGTCAGAAGGCTATCTTGCTTCGCTGAAGGAAAGGTTTCAGATAACATAATTGACAAGACATCGAAACTCCAACCAAATATTCTATCGCAGCGCGATTGTGAGCTGAGAGGGATCTGGAACCATCAATTGCACTGGAGTTCAACTCAGAAAAGTCGATGACGTGGGACGCTCGCTACGATTGTAGTCAGAATTTCTGTTCAGACAGCAGAAGATCAGGAGTGACCTCCTTCTCGGCGTCTCCGCTCTTCAACGTGAAATCGGAGGCCTGAGCTGGCAGCTGACTTGGTAGAATTATCGGAGGTTGACCATATTGTTGAGCAGGCGGCAAGTATGAATACAGCCCTTGTGTCGGTGGAGTTCTGTAATAATACGGAGACGTGGGAGTGTAAGCCGTCGTTGGAAGCGCTAGGGTCGGAGGAGAGAACACCGGATGAGTAGATATCGGTGCAATGAGATGCTGATTAATGAGTCGAGTATTCAATGCAGAAGGCTGCGACGTCGGCGAATAGGCGACTGGTGCTTTCGCGGTATCGAGAAGTTGTTGTAATGAGCTTGAGGAAATAATACCGCTAGCAGCGAAGCCAACGTAGACGGCAAAGCCAATCTGAGGTTGCTGCTGAAGAAGGGCCAATGCGCGCTTGGGGTGAGTAAACGCAAAAGCCTGATCATAAGAGGTCCAAGTCAGGTGGATTCTCGAGACTTCGAACTCTAGCGCCAATACCTTCATTTGGGCAAGTATCTCTTGTAGCTCCATTGAACTGCAGTCGTGTCCACACGACCTATTTTCCTCATCTCGTGCATCGTAGCTTTCACCCGCTTTCGACATGGGAAATCCAAGCCAGCAAGAAGACGACAGTCTAGATGCCGGGAGCTTGGCTCACGAAGATTTCAAGCACGAGAACGAGCCTGTGAGAGCCGAAGGGCCTCAAACCGATGAAGATGAATCTGTTCCCGGGTGTCGAGCCGCAGCTAGCAGAGCTCCAACGCGTGGTTGCTTTCCAAACAGCCGTCGAAGCTGCAACTCTTGACAACGGTGGGATGTCTCCCGACGACATTGAAGCCCTTCGCTACCCTCCCCACGATATTCCCGACATCTCTGATCCTTCATTTCCACCATTCACTCGATCTCTACCTCGCCACTGCTCGCGCAGCTGAAGAGGTTCACAATGACTGTCGGACCGCTGCCAAAAGACAACACCCTGAAGACGACATTTTCTCTTACTACCAGAGTTGGAAACGGGTGGCCCGAATGAGCGGGGTAGCCAACTCTTTCGAAACAAGGCATCCGACTGCCTCATGGGTATCTGGGCTGTCGCTGACCTACGTCCTCAACTGCGCTACAAGAAGATTCACGTCTTGCAACGCTTCATTGTCGGCGGTCCTAACAAGCCAAAAACCCTAAAGTCTTGAACGTTTCCTTCTCTCCACCATCTCTCCGCCATTCAGAAGGAAGGGCTCCGAATTTGGGATTGTCAACAGTTCCACAAGCCCCTTGTAAACCTTTTCGAGATACAAGCAGAATGCGCATTCAAGACGCTCCTTGTATTTCTGAGACCTGCGCTCTCGTACTGCAGCTGCTGCGTCGGATTCGCTATTTCGAGGGACGTAACTATTAGGTGGGTCGCACTACTTTTGATGTGGTTGAGCACCAGGCGACGGAGGTACGAGGCTTCGACTTCGGGAAGGAAAAAATCGATAGTTGTCGCTGCGAGAACGCTCGGCTAGTGATTGAGCAGCAGGATAATGTTCCAGATCGATTTTTCAGAACCGCGGCCAATGGACCGTTGGGACATCGCAGGAGGCGGAACGGTGGGTGGAGTGGTTGTGAACCATGCGGGAGATTTGGCGGGCAGATCTTCGATTCTGTCGGTTTCAATTTTAAGATCTAGAAATCGCGAGGCGCAAACGGAACGCAAGCGTAGTTCGAGATTCGCCTAATCCTGCAGAAGCACCAGGCTTTAAGTCAAACAATAAACCGCCTGAGCTCAGCCAGCCTAGGACATAGAAATGAGCAACAAGCGAGTGGCAGAAATGGAAAACTTGCCTCATTTCACCAGCTCTACCTCGAGGGAGTATCAGGTAAGGCCGCAGGTTTGCGTGATGACGTAGGCTAGAGTTTACTCCCAATTCTCGGCCGCTACGTCGCCCCTTATTGCGGACCGTTTAGCCGTCAGATTAGGGAGCTGGGCGTTGAATCTTGCGAGAGAGAGAGATACGAAATGTCTCGATCGACGGCAAGTTTTTTCGAATAGGCGACTCGAGCTGGGCCCGCAAAGTACCATCAGCGAAAAAAACAAAACGGCAAAATATCAAGAACGACTCACCAGAAGCCAACATTACGATGTGTGCCAGCGGTTTGTTGGCGCAGAGCGCGCCCAACAGTGACCAGAAATAAGGCCTACCATCGAAGGCGCAGAACGCGCCCAACGGTGGTGGAGGCTTGGGAAGAAAAAGGGGATTGGTGTGACGTGACTGATGGTCATGCGCTCTCTGATAACAGCCGCCAACCTGGGATGAACGAGAGCGCGCTTTGCGCTTCGTTACTGTGTGTCTGGGATAGAAGTAAACGTGTGCGCGCATAGCGCAGCGTGTTAACTCGTGGCTAATCTGCTCCTTAACTTCGATCTGGACGAACCAGCAGCGACACGTTCTTGCACTCTCTCGTGTTGTGTTGGACTCTCTTTTCTTTGCTCTCTTCTCGTCATCTAAGCAAGCCGAGGTAACTAAAACTAATCCATAAGTATAAGCTCATATCTCTTCTAGTAACAATGCGACTTTGAACGACATTACAACATGCTCCGCAATCCCATCCACACTTGGCCCAGGAATCCCCCCAAAGATATCGACCACATGCATTTTCTTGTCGTCTCACGTCGCCAGTCCTCCTCTATTTCGAATTCGCCTCCAATCTTTCTCGTCCGATAGTCTTCCCTCCGCGTGTACTTGGATTGCTTATGTCATTCACTACGATGCCCTAGAATCACGTAATCCACTGTTCATCCTGCGGGCAATCGTGGGCAAGATACCGATGATGACGATTCACCAACAGACGACCCGGCAGACGCAATGAATGACCAAGAACGCGACGAGCGCAGAAGAAAGCAACAACAAGCCCGTAGGAAGACGGCCCGTGCTCATAGATAGATGCAAGGTTTTTTTACTCCACCTAGAGGTTCCTGTACATTTTCTCATGTTGACATAGTTCCGAGTCATGGCAAGAGATATACGATGTCTTCGGCGATGGGCATGACTACGATTATGCTTTGGAGGATGATGACGGTAACGAAGGCGAATACGGCAAATCTGAAGCCGCGTGTACGGGTGTGCGCAAGCTTGCATTTCCCAAAATTATCCATTACTCGTTCAGGTCCTTGACAATATCTTCCTAACAGAAGATGACGATCTTATTCGCGTGAAAGATGCTCCTGAGCGTTT